AAACCCAGAAAACCGAAGAATTGAAAAGAGCCTGCTCCAAACAAGTTAGAGCCGCCTCCAACCAAGATGGAGCTAGCTCCAAACCATTTGGAACCGCCTCCAAAACCTTTAGAGCCGCCTCCAAAATTCCATGGAGCCGCCTTTTTCCTCCTCTCTTCCCATCTGCTTGTTTTCTTCAACCGCATCCTCTCCGGTGACGTCCAGTTTTATCAGTCCTCAACTTTAATGGTTTCTACTAATTAAAATTAAGTTTCCAATGCCCTAGATATTTTAAAACCTTTAATCTTAAATCCACTCTAATTTGAACAGAAAATTTCCAGAAAGAAGTAAAACAAGCCAATACGAAATATACAAACGCATACAGTTGCAAACGAACCTAAACATGCAAACCAGTTTAACATTAATATTTTCCAATGTGTTACAAACTAACTCAACTCTTTATATTGCAATTTATATGAAATATACAACCAGTTCCGTGAATTACTTTATGAGTTACATGACGAAAAAACTATAAAACAAGCAGTATAACTCACGACTATGTTCAGTTTAAACAACAGAGACATAAAAACTAGTTTACTTTTAATCCTTATACATTCCTGGAGTTGCATTAGACATGCAAAGCACATGAGCCTAAGGAATAGAGTTAGGATTAGAACTTGCCTGTAAAATCGTGAATTAAAATCTTTAAGCCGTCTTCCTAAATTTCCCCGCGATTCCTACAGTTCCCGACCCTTCTGTTGCCCTCTATTTCTCTCAGTTTAATTATATACGTGAATAGGGTTTTTGATGTGTAAAACCCTAAGCCAACGTCCAATGATATATTTATATAAGCTTAAGGAAAACCTAATTCTATTATATTAGGATACAGAACCCTCAACTAGATATAACCCTAGTCGGCTAAACCGTGAAACATAAAAACCCTAGAGTTATAATGAAAACGAAAACCCTAAATAACAATTTAATAATTAATGAAACTAATTAAATCAATTAAAACAATCAAGTCATTTAAATAAAAGAAATACTATAATGCCCATGAAACAATTAAATCAAATTTCCACGCAAGCACATATTTAAGACAGAAAATAATCAAAACAAATACGCAATTAAATAATTCAAATAAATACACAATTAAAACAAATAGGCAACCAGCCAAATAAACACATAAAAATGCAAAAAATACAATAAAATCATAAAATAAACTACCGAGACTATCCTTTTAAAATTAGGGGTATTACATTTATCCACTGAGTTGGCATCGTCTTCTTTTCAATCGATTGTAAATCTCTTTGATCGATCGAGACTTCCTTCGATCAATCAAAGACTGTCTAGTGCAGATTTTTCTAACTTCTTCTGAATTTTCTTCTTGACTCCAAATTTTGGCTCTTTTTAGCCTGTTTAAACTTTATTAACCTGAAATAGACAAAAACACAAATTATAACTAAAACGAGAAAGTAAGATAGATGAATGGACTAAAATACCCTAACTTAGGTGCTAAAATGCATCATATTTAAGCACTTATCAATCCTCACACAATAAAAATAAATAATATATATTGCCAATTTAAATCCTCCTCTATGTAGGACTTTAGTTATATTAATATATATGACACATATAAATATAAATAAATATATAATATATATTGCCAATTCAAATCCTCCTCCATTTAGGACTCTTTTTATATTAATATACATGACACATATAAATATAAATATATAAATATATTATGTAATATATATTTATAAATCATTTTTAACTGATACTTATCATATATATACATATAGTCCTATATATATATACTTACTATAAATATATAACTCTTTATAAAATTATACTCCCTCTGTCCCACTTTAAATATCGGTTTCGGGAACCGTGACTCACAATTCCATTTTAAATGTCGACTTATTGTGAGTCACGGTTCCCGAAGTCGACATTTAAAATGGGACGGAGGTAGTACATATTTATATAATTCATTTAATACGCATAATATATATATATATATATATATATATATATATATATATATATATATCATAAACACCCATGATTAATAACTGATAATGAACTATGATAGAAACAGAATATTAAAACAGAAAGATAATCAACGGAATATAGAAATATGCAAGACAGTTAATAAACAACAGATTTGAAAAACTTTGAAGAACTTTGATTGAAACTTGGAACAACTAGTTAATATTACAACAACTAAATATATGTGGCACATAATCAAACAAGAATTAACAACCAAGTCATACCATACAAATAAAAATTAATACGGCAACAAATCAATCAACAATCAAGCATATCATCATACCAATAAATCAAATAAACAAGTAAACAAATAATTAATTTAAAATAAATAAATATATTAAATTCATTTAAAGACAAATTATTTAATTAAATAATTCCTCTAAAATATAAGGATATTACAGTAAGGATGTTTAAAGTGTTATGCTATGCCTCTTTTAGAGTTCTCTATTTGATTCCATGCTAGTTGTGTTTAAAATAGATGATTTAGAGATTAATGTGGTATACATGTGCTTAGTAATGTTTGAAATGCTAATTTATTGTTGTGGAAGCATGTTTATTTGTTAAAGTTGCTGTTTTGAGATCTATAGTTGAAATTGATAACATGTTTTATTTTGAGATCAAGCATGCCAAGTTTGTGTTGAGAGTATTGACTATGCTAAATTGATGCTAATAAGGCATGAACTCATTTCATAGTATGTACATGATCATGGGGAAAATTGTGGTTGATTGATTTTGAAAGGGCATGTTTGGGAATGGTTGTGAGAAAGTGTTTTATTTAAGAAACCAGATTTCGCAAGTTCGGGTGCTAATCTTGACCTAGAAGGAGCGCGTGCCAGATTTGGACTCATAAAATTGATTAACTATGCCCCAAATGGTCGTCGGATTTGAGATCAGGGATAGTAGTCAATCTCGCCTCGGTAAGGTCGGTTAACGGTTTTCAATGTGAGTTGAGTTAGGCCGGGAGTGTGGTCGGGAAAACATGTCATTACATTGCATAATGGTGTGTTTGTGTTGATTTCGGCTTATTGGCATTCCTATGTATGATCCCGACACCTTCTATCTATTCTTTATATGTTGATTCAAGGGAGCCCAAAGCTAATGCTTTATGCATCTCCCACTGAACTGTTGAGCTCACCCCTTAATTATTATTTTCAAGATATGGCAAAGAAATTATAGATGACGCACCCTTGCAAGCTTAGAAGTAGAGAAATGGACTTTTGACATCTTTTGTAATAGATTAGTATAGACAGTGATCTTATAATGTAACTATATTTTTTTGTAAGCTTTAAGCGAAGCCCTTGTATTTATGGCCATGGAGGCCTCATCATTTTTGTAAGCATAATCTTTTGTACTTCTATGAATGTTTCAAAGATGATTTTGATTCTCAAAAGATATATGAATGATGATGTCCATGGAGTTTTAATTTCATATTAATTGTTCTGGGATTGCGTTTGATTAGGTTTGAGAAGCAAGAATCTTGATATTTTTATTACTGGGCATCATTTAATCGGTTAGATAAGAGTATCCACACAGTTAGATGAATGGGACAGTATGTGGGTTTGATGAGTTTCTTTCATCTAACCGGTTAGATAGGATTTGGGTGTTCATCTACCTGGGTAGAAGATCCCATCTACCCGGTTAGATGTATCGGGCAAAGAGGGTTTCATCATCAAACCGGTTAGATAGAGTTATCTAACCGGTTAGATACGATCTATGGATGATTTTCCCACTGGACTATTCATCTACCCAGTTCTTCTAACCGGTTAGATGAGATTTGGAACTTTGTAAGCTTACTGGACCATTCATCTACCCGGTTAGAAGAAATGGTTAGATGAACTGATATTTGCACCTTGACTCTATATTTCAGTATAATTACCCAATAACCCCCATACTTCAACCAAAACATATAATGACCTTAAAAAATGACAGAACTAACCCTGAAGGGTATGGATGTTATAGTTTGACTAGAAAATGACTATTTTACCCCCAAGGGCTTTTAGATCACTATTTGGCCACGGTAAAAGTCTATTTTACCCTTTTGGGTTTATTATTATTAATTGATAAAGTAAAATGACCTTTATACCTCTAATGAGTTGTAAAGCTATAATAAATGTACCAAATAACTAGTTTACCCTTGTTGGGCCTTAAACCATTATTTTACCACAGGCAATGACCATTATACCCTTATGGACTCTAAAATTATTGTAATTACGTGAAATGACCATAGTACCTTTGAATGACCATAGTACTTTTGTGTGACCTCGGGTTCGGGTAAGGACTCGGTTAGTGATTCAGACCTCCTGGTTTGGGTCGTTACAGTAATTGTGAAATAATATCAAACACCTGTGACAGATTAGGGTTTCATCACCCAAGTGATATTCATGAGTGGTTTTATCAAGCTGTGGTAGTTTACTTAGTTGAGAAAATATTTAAAAGCTGAAAAAGTGCAAGAACCAATTCACCTCCTCCCCCTCTTGGTTCATCATAAATTAAAAAATTGACCTTGCTATTTTAAAATTCCAAAAATAAATTTTAAAAATTATTATCAGTATTTTAATTTAACATTAAATAGCAAAATTAATTTTATCATTTCACACTAATTTAGGAGTCCGTTACAGACATGATGGCAACTTGATAAATTTTTTTTTAGTTGAGTTTTTAAATTCTACTTGAATTTTATGCACAATTGAAAGTACAGAGAGATTTTAAGCCTACAATTAAACTATAACACCGGGTTTTTGGTGGTGTTCAGGAAGGCGATTTTATAAATACGGATAGTTCATAGGTCCATTTTATTATTTGAAGTAACAAATGTGATGAAAGATACTTGGAACTAGGGCTCGAAGGAGTAATTGGATTCACGTAACAAATGCAGCATAGGCCGTACGGTGGGACCCGTGGGTGGGTGTGTATATATATATATGTGCATAATATATTGTACTGCATAGTATTTATTTTGATTCGACTTCCTTCCCTCTTAAATAAGAAAAATAAGGGGAAAAATAGAAAGAGGAGGACACTGATTCAAGATTTTGAGTTACAAAGAGAGGGAGAGGAGGGGTAACTTTTTTTTTAATTCCTAATCGGTTTCTCCTTAAAAACCATTATTGTTGTGGACTCGCCTCTAATGATGATTGAGAGATATTGAAAACCCCTCTCCTTCTCTCTTTGCCCCCACTCTCTCTCTCTCTCTCTCCTTGTTGCAACATCGCTTTTGGGTTTGGGCTCTTATTTTTTTCGCTTTATTGTGCCAAATGAGTGTATTTGAAATAGCAAAGAAAAAAAACCCATTTCGCTCTCTATCATCACTGTGTGTACGATTACAAATTGAAATCCTTGTGGTTAGTTATATACTACTATTGTTGTGTATATAAAGATAGATCGGTGGTTGGGATTATATACACAGTATATTAGTTTTTGGGTGGGTGAGAGAGAAGTGAGAACCAAGAAGAAGAAGAAAAAGAGGGAAAATGCAAAGCTTGTAGTGTTTGTTGGTAGAAGTTACCTATTTTGTTTTTTGCAGTTTGAAGCAAAGAAAGGACAAGTGTAAGTGCATTCATTCATCAAAGGAAATGTGTGAGGTGAATCACATTCTCTATTTTCTCACCGATCTGATTATATAAATTCAAAACTTAATTTTGTTCTTTTTTAAAGTATTATTGAATTGTACTAATAAATTCGAAATAAAATTAAATTTTGAATAAATTAGTTTGAGTTGTTCAGGTTTTCGAGATCTGGGTCGTCCCAGAGGATGTAAGATGAACGGAGATTCGAAGAGAGAGTTGCTGCTGCTGATGCGAGTGCTTGTTAGGGTTTCGTTGCAATTACCCTTTTCGTCAGTGGAATTGATTTCTTTTTCTCCTCATGACTACCACCAAACGTGCTTATAAGTTACGTATCCTTTTCTTTGTTTATCATTTCTTTTTCCAATTTCTTGGTCGGTGTGTATCTGATTGTGTTGATTTTGAAAATTGATAAATGCAATGGAGTAGTTTTGCATTCTCGTTTGTTTGGGTCTTGATCTGGGAACAGGTGCCAACCCATTCCGCATTCTTCATTTGGGTTTTTTTAGATCTCTTTTCTGTGATGATAGGTTCAGGGATTTCAAGTATGAGACTTGTCTTTTCATGTGTATTAATTGTTACTCTTACTTTATCTTTTTTATAATTTTAATTGAGATTGTGCCATGCATCTCGGAATTTGGCGAACCCAAATGTTAGTTAGTTAGCCTTGACTATATCCGACAGAGGAATTTGTGGCTCATGCTTCCAGTGTCAATTGCCTCAAGATTGGAAGGAAGTCATCAAGGGTTCTTGTCACTGGAGGAGAAGATCATAAAGTAAACCTGTGGGCTATTGGCAAACCCAATGCCATACTGGTTAGTTCCTAGTTCGCTTGCCATTGTCAACCTCAATCCATTCATTAGTCAGTCAGTGTCTATTTGCTCTATTTTCCATTTTGTGAATGCGTGCATCTTCATTGCTAGTTTTCACAATGGATTTTGATCTCATTGTTTGGACTATGATTAATTCTTCTGGCACGATCACTCTATTTTGAATTCTGCTATTTACTCAAATTACCAAGAAAAAACCAATACAATTCCTTAATATTAGCATCCATGCATGTTTGAAAAAAGACTACGAGGATCTCTTTAGTTAACAACACGACCTCATCCTTTTAGATGGTGAAAAAATCTTTTAAATTTGATCTCGTACTAATTGCTTCTTTAAGCAGAGTCTATCTGGTCATTCAAGCGGAATTGACTCCGTCAGCTTTGATTCTTCAGAAGTGTTGGTAGCTGCAGGAGCAGCAAGTGGTACAATCAAACTTTGGGATTTAGAGGAGGCAAAGAGTATGCTTGTTGCCCCATTGAATATGTTTGAATATGTGGATTATATCATGTGCTATGCTGTCAAATTGATTCTTGAAATTCTTTCTGTTGGAATATGGTTTCTTCCTGTAGTTGTTCGCACCCTCACCGGTCACCGATCCAATTGTATATCATTGGACTTCCATCCCTTTGGGGAGTTCTTTGCCTCTGGATCTCTTGATACGAATCTAAAGATATGGGATATAAGACGAAAAGGTTGTATTCACACATACAAGGGCCACACTCGAGGGGTCAATGCTATAAGATTTACTCCGGATGGTCGTTGGGTTGTATCTGGTGGAGAGGACAATACTGTAAAGGTTAGAATGGCCTTTTATTTTTTATTATCATGAATTTGGTTGAGATGACTATACAGGCCGTTGTCCACATTTCACACACTGACATGCAATGTATTGGGAAACAGTTGACCACCGACTTTTTTCGTTTTTATTTGTCATTATCATTACTTCTATTTATGTATTTTTTTAGTATAAGGGATGAGACCCCTACAGTGACATTGTTACTTTATCTAGACAAAGCATACTAAAACAGCTCTCGAGTGTTATGTATGAAGATATCAACGAAGCTATAGGAATGTCGTGCATTGGGACTCCTTGTAGTAAATTTGTGTTTAGTGCACCAAGTTGGACAAAATATGTGTTCGTTTTGCTTACCGACATAATTTTTGGGTCTTAATCTCACTCTCTCAAGCTCTAGCTCACTTGTGGACACAGTTTTTGGTTAATTTGAAATTGCTCCCATGAAGTCATTGCAGTAAAATCACTATTTTTAAGTGCAATAGGATCTGATGTTAGAAGTCTGTATGTTTTTACTCATGACACATCTAGTGTATAGCTCTTCATAGTATTAGATTCTTTGTTGCACACATATATACTTTTTTGGTTAATCTGGTATTATATCTTTCTTCCCTTTAACTGTTGTAACAGCTCTGGGATTTAACTGCGGGGAAGCTGTTGCATGATTTCAAGTGTCATGAAGGCCAGATTCAATGCATAGATTTTCATCCTCATGAGTTTCTGCTGGCAACAGGTTGTAAATATTTTTCATTTTAAGCAACATCTTCTTTACTAATCAGTAGGAAACTGCAAATCTAATCCTTCCTTGTTTTCAGTTTATTCCTTAAGTTTGATAGCAACTTCTCATCATTTCTAACAGTTCTCATGTTTATGTGATGCTTCTTTATCAAAATGTCCCTTGGTTTTTGGTTTGTGGCTCAAACCGGACTTCACAATTGAACCTATTTAGATTATCAAGATAAGGTTTGTTTGTGAAGCATGGAGACAAGTAGTTTAGTTAATAAATGTGGTTCTCCATATGGTTGCAGTGCTCCTTTTAGAAAAACAGTGGTTAGCTATGATCTACATATGCTCCTTTCAGTCTTTCCTTTGTTGTATAAACTCATCTACTTGAGATTTATTTATGAAAATTATAGCATCAAAATGAAGTGCATTATTCCTTGCTCATATGAAATCTTTTCAAAAAGAGAAAAACTGGAAATTAATTGTTTTTGAAGTATTCATCCTGTTTCTTACTTAGTTGTCAGATATATTATGTTTTCCTGTTCCAGTGGGACACAATTATGGTGACATTGTTGCCTTCTATTCTTTGTTCTTGCATGGACTTCTTGTGTATATTTTTACTTATCATATTCTTTTTAGTCATATTTATCACAGTGAAAAGGAAAAAAATTTTTGCTCATTTTTGTTTTTTTTTATAAATAAGGTATATAGAATTTGCTGACTTTTGTTGATGCAAGACAACCTAGGTTTTGAAAGTTCTAGGGCTGACTGGGAGGAAATGTGGTGGGTCAAGGGAAGAAAATAAGGGGAATCAGATTAGAGTTAAAAAAAACAACGGAATATAAACTATAAGGTTCAGATTTTTTTTTTTTAAATTTTTTATTAAGGGAGCTTTAAACAGTTCTGTAAAAGAAGAAATATAGAAATTAGGAAAGTTAAAATAATAGAGAAAAGAGGTAAAGAGAGAAGTCTGCCATACTCCATGAGAACTTGTTTGAGACCTATACTCAAACTGATAGAAGCTCTTCAAACTCATTTATTGAGCAAGAACTAAGCTCCAGCCTTGTTTTATATGTAGGGTTCTGTTTCTCATTTATAAGTGCTTGAAATCTGTAAGGGCAAGTTATCCTTCAGCAAGTTCCCCCATCAATAGTAACTAAATAAGACTAATTTTTAGTATAGGGACTTTGCTTGTTAATTCTGCTTTCTGGGGGTATGCCCCTACTTGCTTCATCTTGTACATTATTGTTTCATAAATAAAATTTCCATCTTGCCTAGGAAAAAAAAATAAGACTAAAATTCTGCTGCCATTACACGAAGTTCTTAATCTTAAATTGGGTGGTTTGCAACTGCAGAAAGGATGACCCAACTAAAATTAGAATCTTAGAATATAGAAATATTAAGCAACTACAGTAACTTCCAGCAAATCAGACCATATAAACTCCTAAAAGGGCTCAACTAACCCAATCAGGAAAAGAAATAATAAAACCCGTGATCAATCACAAACTTACACATGAAAGAGACATATGTAAAGTTACTAAAACATGTACCAAAACTCATTCTTTTTTATCTTTTATTTTATTTTATTTGATCTTTTTGGCAAATTAAGTCTTTTAAGATTAAGTCATTGTATGAAGCCCGGCTGACCACAAGCCTGAACCACGTCAGAAATATTGCTGTGTTTTTCCATCATCATCATCATCATCATAATTATCATCATCATCATTGAATTTGTTTAATATTTTGAGCGTTGTCCTTTTGCAGGTTCAGCGGATAGAACCGTTAAATTCTGGGACCTCGAAACTTTCGAGCTTATAGGCTCAGCTGGTCCTGAGGTGAGTATTCATCTCATGCTGTAACTGCTTGACTTAAATTTGGGCCTCAGATCCAATTGTCAGTATATCTTTTGAGCATTCTCTGCTTTTGCAAATAACCATTATTTACATTCTGTGTTGAATTTCAGACCACTGGAGTGCGTTGTATGACCTTTAATCCTGATGGGCGAACCCTACTTTGTGGTTTGCATGAAAGTCTAAGGGTAGGCTCTTCTTGTAAACAACTGGTCAAGTACAGATAATAAATTGAAATAATGTTGGATGTTTATTAGATTTTACTCAAATAGGTTTTCTTATGCTATTAAATAGGTTTTCTCCTGGGAACCAATCAGATGTCATGATGCTGTGGATGTGGGATGGTCTAGATTGTCAGATCTTAATATTCATGAGGGGAAGCTTCTTGGCTGCTCTTACAATCAAAGTTGTGTTGGAGTATGGGTTGTAGACATATCGGTATTGCTCAATTTGTGTTCATGGTAACATTTGCGTGGTGTCTGCTTTGTTTCTTTTCTGAATTTCAAACTGATGTATGTTTTACAACATTTTACTTCTTGCAGCGTATTGAACCATATGCAGTTGGTAACGTTACTCGATTGAATGGTCATTCAGAAACAAAATCTAATCCTAGTGGGAATTTATCCGTACTGAATGAAAATACTGCAAAGACTAGTTTGGGCAGGCTATCTGTTTCACAAAATTCAGATCCTGTAATGAAGGAAACCAAAATTTTAGGAAGGCTTTCAATCTCACAAAACTCAGATCCTGCTGTTAAGGAGTCTAAATCTTTCCCCTGTATGTTTTTTTTTTTCATTTTATTGTCTCCTTACTGTTTTGCACCGAACAACACCGCCCCCCACCCCACCCCACCCCCCACCCCCCCAAAAAAATGGTTTCTTACTCTTTTGTTACTTCTGTATTTTTTTTCTTGGTCGTCAGCTTTCTCTAAGTTCAAATTGTGATTTTGGCTTATTAACTTTGGTATAAATATTGTATAAAGCCACAGGAAGTGTACCTGGTACTCCTCAACGGGTCAATTTAAACACTGGTACAAAGACAACCTCAATTAGTTCATCGACAGTTCCTAGTGCAATAGCTCCAAAGAGAAACATGGCAAAGGTCAATACAACAGCCAATGCTTCATTTTTCAACAGGTCAGATGTGATACCTGTAATTGTCCCCAGAAATAATGTGAGGTTGGAGCAGGAAGCTGAATCTAGAAAAGAAAGTGTTTCTGGAAGAACTATGACATTACCCTTTCAGCCAAAAACATCTGATTTCCGAAAGATAGCAAACACAAGAGATGACTCGGAGAGGCCTATTGCTGCTGTACATTCTGAAATTGAGGGTAATAAGGCTACTGAATTGAGTGCGGTTGCAGATAGGAACACTTCTCCTGCAGTTAAGCGCTCTATCATAGGAATATCTGCGGTTGAGAGGAATGTAAAGGACGATAAATATATTGTTTCTGGGAAAGTTGAAATGAATTTAATGACAGAACGAGTTGCCAGCTATCAGCATGAAAGTTGTACGTATTCGGATCTCAGATATGTAAATTAAATTGATTGATCTAGTGATTTAAAGATTTCTGTATAAAATTAATCAGATTAGAAAGATTTGATGCTATTCTGCTTAACAAAGAAGATTATCTAAAGTATACTGAAGTAGGGATGACAATAGGGTGGGTTTTCGGTTAACCCGCCCCTCCCATCTAATGCAATGGATTTGGATGCCTAAACCATGGTTGGGAAAGATATGTTCCAAAACTTATGAACTGGCTCGGTTTCGGGGGAGGTTGGGTTCAATCAAACTCGCTAATTTTTTTTCTTGATATACTGCTACTAAATTACACAAGTACAGCATATCCCATTTCAGTTGAAACAAGTGGTAAAATGCCATGTAGTGTTTCACTAGTTTATAAATATTAGTAATTTCCTCTGTGGTGATAACATACTATATGTGAAGCCATTCATTTGAAGAGGTGTGCTCAACCTTTCATTTGTTGCTCCAGCTAAAAGATTTCTGAAAGCAGGTGGCAAGAAAATATAGTCTGTCCTGGTCTGCCTTGCTGCCCATTGACTGGATTGGGATGGTTTTATGAAGGGGTCCTTTCCTTACAGCAAGGGACCCTGTTGCCATTCATATGATCAGTTAGATTATCACCTAAAATTTCTTTTAGATTTACTAAAAGCCTTTTTTTTTTTTTTGACGTATAAGACTGAATATTAGTTTAATATGCCATACATCTTGTTGTGTCTTATCTTGCATCCTGTTATTAATAATTTTAAAGTTTGAATCTTGTAATCCTACTTTGTAACTTAACTTCTTGATCAGGATATATGAACGTCAATGGTCTGTATAGCTTTTTTGACCTTACAATCTTTAGAAGTGTATTTTTCTCTTTGTAATACAACCTTCTTCGAATCCTCTTTAACCTCATTATGCATTCTAGTATGGATGTTTTCATTGCATTTACAATATCTTACTTACCTTATAATGATTGTACCAGTTGTACTTGGGTATGAGAAGTTGATGACTATATTATGGTTCTAGGGCATTTTTTTCCCCAGTAAATACATAGTCTATAGGGAGGATGAATGCTCTGTATTTAGAAATTGAGATGGTGCCACAATAGTGGGCGTCTGTTGTCTCGTGAGGAGAATGCCTTGAGTAGTGAACTTGACCTTAGAGAGGGAAACCAATTAGTGCACTTTGTCGTTATATGCATTCTCAGGCCAACATGACATCAATTTGGGTTGATTTTGTGCTTTTAACTGGGTAATTGTGAAATTTCCAGTTTGTGGCCCCCATCTTGTGGTAAATATTATTGTTGATGTTGAACTTTTGGGCAGTTGATTCAGAATTAGTCTCTGATCCCTTTGTTTCACTAACCATCTTTGGATAAGTTCCAAAGCTTTATGTAGGGATTAATTTACTAAAAATGAGGGAAAGTGGAATGTGGAATTCTCTTTCTGTATTTGAAATTTTTTGAACATGTAACTAAACTTTGTTATTTTATTTTTGCAATTAGAATTTTAATTTTTAAATTTTTCTTAGAGAATATAAACTTCTTAAATGAAAAACAATTTCTTCTTTGGGAGTTTAAACTTTGGCATGAGCTAGTTAATTCTTTATTATTGTTTTGTCGCATGAAAAGTGTATTTTCCAAGTACCTAACCGGGGAGCCCTTCCTACTTAGGAGGCTCCTGTGACTAATTTCCATTTTAAGCACTTTTTAGGTTAGCCTTCTGTATCTATTGTTTTAACAAAATGTCCTTCCGAGATTGATGAAATCGTATTTTTTGAGGTCCTAACAGGGGAGCATTCCAACTTAGGATGTTCCTGTACTAATGTCCATGCCAAGCATTTCTTAGGTTAGCCTCCAGTAATTAATAGTTTAGAAGAATGGCCATTGATGTGAATGGAAAGGAACCTTAGGTATTGGGAATAATAAAATAGAAGATACCCATATTTTGTTGTCTCAAAGGTTTTGGGAAAACCATAGAATAAGAAGCAAAATCTACATACATGTAATGCAGCACCGGAAATAATGGATGTGGCAAGAAAGGAAAGAGATTAATGTTTTGTTTACATGCTAACTGAATATAACTTCGTAAGACGTGACTTAATGTTTCTTTGCTACTTGAGTTCAAGTAACTTTTATGTGCACTACTTCTAGTTTCAACTGTCTGCTTGGCTTGCCACTCAGAAAACAGAAAACTGTTTTTCAAAGAACTATAAAAGACAGCTCCAAGGAAATAGGCCTTTTTATAACTGAGTTTTCAGAAAACTGAACCAAGCAGGGGTTTTTGAACAGTTTTCTGATTTTTAGTTCTTTGCGAACAGAAACTGTTTTCTGAGTGACAAACCAAGCAGAATGTAATTTTGATAGAGCGAATTGTTATTATCTATTGCTTTGGACGGATTACCATTGATGTTTGCTCCAAATTTTTGTTTCAGACGAAACTCGTGTGCATAAAGCGAACAGAGATGCTTGTTCTAACGAGGGTCAAAGAGCTGGTACATCCATTTTTGGTTGTTGTTAATGTTTGTAGGCAACTTAATGATGCCTGATTCATTGTCCTCACCCATGTAATTTTGATATAGTGAATTTTTTCTATCTATTGTTTTGGGTGGATTACCATTGATGTTTGCTCCAAATTCTTGTTTCAGACGAAACTCGTCTGCAGAAAGCAAACAGAGATGCTTGTTCTAATGAGGGTCAAAGAGCAGGTACATCGATTTTTGGTCATTGGTGATGTTTTGTAAGCAACCTAATGATGCCTGACTCATTGTCCTGAAAAACAATATTAGGAAGGACACGCTCGCTTGTTGCAAATTGGGAGAAGAAAGAAAGATTGCCTTTTTATGAGGATCCTGCTTCCAGCAATCTCTCAGGGACAGCATCTCCTGTTAACACACTCCCAGCTAATGCGGTATGATTAATTTCGAGTTGTGTAGTCCCTTCCCGTGTTCTCTTTCTTTTTTCCTTCAGGAATGTAATCCAATGATTCTTGGAGTTCTTGGAGAATAAATTAGTTTCTGAGAGTGTCTTTTTTTCTTTCTTTTAATCACTGCATATAAATGTCAAAAGCAGTTAGTTGAATAGGATATCGTTTGATATATCTCTTTTTGGTTATACACTGAAGTCTGGCATCTTGTTCTAGCTTGGATGATGGAAAGTATGTTTACATAAAAAAAATGGTTTCCTATCATATCATAAGCAAACAGTTGTTTGTCCTTTTAACAATCACATGCTCATTGTAGTGGGGTTGCCACACCAATTATGGCTCCCCTTTATGAACCTTCATGGAGATGCCTGCTCTATATGTGGAGGACAATTCTTTATTCAAGCATAATACATTAACTAAGACTATTGATCCATATTCATGGTTAAGACAATGTGCCTAACATTGTTAATCTACTTGAAGCCTGCAATCTGGAAAAGTGGAACATTCACATTTGTTGGGGGTATAATCCCATGATATTACTCATAATTTTTTTTTGAAGCACTTGTATTTTTTGCAGTCCACTTTACCTTCCATTGGAAAACAACAAGAATTTCAAATCTGTAGAGCTTTATTTGTTATCAGGAAAATTTCTAGAAGACTGGAACTTTACATACTAATTCTTTTACTTCTGAACCATAGAGGAATTTCTTTTTGTCCTTCAGTTTTGTTCATGATATAGAACATTTTCCAACTAAGGGAAGATTGGTTGTACTTGGAAACCATTTCTTAGTGAAAAAAAATCATGTTTCAGCTTGTTACCTCATCAGACCATCTGATTTCCAATAGGGGAGCACACTTGCCGCTATTTTTTTTTTTTTTCAAATTTTAGCTACGATTGATTCAAGTTTTGTTTACTGTTCTTTATCATAGATAGAGCCTATTGGATAAATGCTGATAGCTGTAGTTCATTTTTATGACATAGAATTTATGATATTTGCTGTGTTATCTCTTTTTCTTTGGCCTTTTGATGGATCTATGAAATGAACTAAAGGGGTCATCTGACTTGATTTATGACTGGTTATGGTGTAGAGGTATTAGGAGTAGTTGTCAACTCGATACATGAATGGGCTTCGAGCAAACTCTTAATAATAAGCATGTTTCGATTCTGGTTACTGCATTAATATTATTAATGTTTTTGTCTGTTCCTTGAGACTAAAGACACTTCTTCTATGCATTAAAATTTATCTTGGTTTGGAAGCAAATTCTGCTGGAATCATATCTATTTTTGACCTCTTCTACACTTTTTCATGAGTTGTGACTGGGTTTTAATTACGATTGGAAATTAGATCCATGAGCTGTGCAATGGAATATTATTATATAATATGGCATCCTATTTCCGTTAAAGATAAACAATTGTTTTGTAGCCACACTTTGCTATTCTAGAATTAAATTTAATCTTATTATTTTATATCTAGTGTAAATCTGACTTGCAAAAGAATTTTTAGTTTTAGTATTAAAAAAATTAGTGAAAACAAGAAGAAAAATGAGGTTTAAAAGTGTTGTAGTGCCTGTCACATCAAAATGCTGAAACGGACCATAATGTGCACTTAAACACTGCACTTAAACGTACCATAATGTGCACTAATAAAAACATACAGAAGTGAGACATAAAACTTTCTTGAAGACATTGTGTAGAATTCACAACTCGCTGACCTTTACAAACGAGCACTAATCACATCATCCAGAATTGAGATATTAACTTTGACTTACAGTGTAAAATACTTAATTATCAAAAAAAAAAAGGAAAAAAAAGAAAAAGAAAAGAAGAAGAGCATTTTTAGTGTAAAAAGCACAACTTTTTTTTCTTGTTCAACTTTTCTGTATATTAGTTTATGCTTCTTCTTCATATTTTTTTCTCTTCTTTTATTTATAGGCAGTTACGTGTGTGTTCTTATCTTAAACCTTTTTGAAACTAAGCAGAGAGAATACTCATCTGCTGAACCAGAAATGGTATCTGCTAGCGACGAAGATGCTATTTCATATATAATGGAACAACACGATCAATTTGTTGGCTCAATGCAGTCTCGTTTAGCCAAATTACAGGTATTTCCTTTTAAATCAAGTTCAATATTTATTTAATATTTTTATTTTTTGCCTGGCAAGAAAGTTTAATTCAGGTCATAGATTTTGTGGTTTTGATCCACTAATGTGTTGCATATACACCATGGATTTTGTGGATAGCTTGAAAGTATAGTGTCACCATGGGCGTCTTTTGTATTCCCTTTGGAGCGCTCCCCTTTTGAACGCCTTTTAACAAAATCTTACTTATCAAAAATCTAAAATAAATAAAGAAAAATGAATGGCTTGACATATAATTCTAAAACTTGAATTGTCTACTTTGATTTCATGTTTACTTTAAAGTTATAATTAATGTGGATAGTTGCCATTCCTTTTACATCTATGGCTTTCAATAATTAGCTTAATTCCCAATTCTGACTTTCAATTTTAAAGCCCCCACAAATCAAATGCTAGAACTGAATTATGCTTTCTGAAACAGTGTAAACAGGAGTTGTCGTTACGTCTTTTGCTTTTGCCATATCCCCTTCAACCTCTCCACAAATATCCTGTCATTAGAAATTCTGGTGATAGTACAATAAAGATATCATCGTTTATTAGTCTTATCACTATCAAAAGACTCTGAACTTGTATATAATTGTTTGCAGATAGTCCAAAAATATTGGGATAGGAATGATCTTAAAGGGGCCATTACTGCAATGGAAAAGATGGCTGATTACGCTGTGAGTCTCGTGTTTAAGCTTGGTTATGGTGCACCTTTTTGTTTTCTAATATTTTTATTTATTTATTTATTTATTTATTTTTTTCTTCTTAGTGCTTGGATAAAACAATGATTTCTTTTATGAACTATTTTTTAATGCAACCTGTATGATTTAGTTCCCATATGCTGTAAAATGCAGGTTGTTGCTGATGTGATCAGCTTTTTGAGAGAAAAAAATGACGCCGTGACATTGGATATTTGCACTTCTCTCCTCCCACTCCTTGCAGGCCTTCTTGAAAGTGGAATGGATAGGTGAGAATTTTGCAGAATTGTTTGTTGTTCTCTGTATATTCCTGGCCTCTAACAGTGCTTGTCAAGCTAAACCTGGAATCTGTTATATAAACCTAAGCAAGCACCTGCCGCTATTTCAAAAGGTTTAACAAGTTATCTATGGATACCAAAAAGAAAAAAGATACTTCAGAAAACTGTTTGAACATGCCAAAAGTAAATAACAAATAGTGTAATTAATGCAAATGAATAAATGTTATTGCCAATAAATCCCGCCAAGGATGGAATTATTATTTTTTTTGTTTGTTTCACTTTTATGTACTCTTTGACTCTACAGTCATAATTTCAGTTTATCTTTTCTTTCACTAATCACATTTTATTTAGGGGTCTGCCATGAATTTGTTATACATTCTATCTTTTCTCTCTTTCTTCCTTTCTAAAAAATTAAAATAAAAGTTGGGGGAAGCGAAGTAGGTGATTCTCTATGAAATGCACAAGGATTATTCTTTTGTAGTTAAGCAACTAACTTATCCTCTTGGTGATGCCAGTTGATTGAAAGTAGGGATTCCTTGACATCATTCTTGTAGTAGGATTGCACTAGGATGTGACATCTGCTTTGTCTCTTAAATGGGGGGCGTTTCATTATTTAAACCGTTGAATTTTGCTCAGAAATGAAATATGAAAATTAAGTTATGGGTGATTCATGAGAAACCGTACCATATCATATAAATATTGCCATATTTTATAATAAATAATTAAATAGATGTGAAGGTAGCAGAAGGGTTGTCATATCCTCTTTCAAGAAGAGGTCGTGCCACTAATGGAGCTTGGGTGTGATGCAACCGTTACTAGTTGATAATGGAGACTGATAAACCACAAGGACCGGAACTTTTAATCTCTGATGTCTCCAAGTCTAAGTGATGACTTAGACCTAGAGGAGGGGGTGAATAGTTGTTATGGATATTAGTTTTCAATTAAGTTACTTTTTTTTTTTTTTACTTATCAAAAAAAAAAATTACTTTTTGAATTGTTGTTGATTTGTTGAAATTCAGTTAGTTTGTTGTGGTTATTGATATTTGAATTGTAGTTGAGACCTGTCAATTTTCAATTTTCCATCAATCATAATCACAATCACAATAATGCATCAATAGTAAAAAGTAAAGTAGAACAGAGACACGAAATTTTAGTTGTGATGGTTGATATTGAATTGTAGTTTAGATCTGTTAGTTTTCAATTTTCCATCAATCATAATCACAATCACAGTCCATGCATCAATAGAAAAAAGTAAAGTAGAACAGAGGCGGATTTTTGCGTGAAAAACCCAAAAAAAAAAAAAAATCATGGGTGCTAGTCCAGGTAGAAGCAATCCACTATATGAGAGAGAAATTACAACTAGGTTGACAGTTTTCACACTCTAGAACGCTTATTTACCTCTTAACACAAAGTTACAACCTGATGCCAAACTTTACACTCAAAGTCTTCATGCCATCCGTTCTCTCGTCAACAAACTTTGCTCTTCACGACCGCTTCTCTAGTGATTGTCCACCCTTCTGCTCTAAGCTCTAATTAGTTGATTGGAATTGGTTTGTTGAACTACTACTTGTCAAAAAAAAAAAAAAATAGAAAATTGGTTTGTTGAATTGTTTTACACTTAATCACATATGGTGGTGTATATGGTAACCTTTGGTTGAGTAAGCAGGAATTCCACTTTCTCAAGGCTTTTCTCTATCTATCATTAGACACTTCAAAATAAAACCCTGCAAATGTAGGTAGTTTCTCGATTGTTCAATCATTTGATCAACAATTTGTTGAACTTTCTTGATCGATCGACAATTCAATGAATGCATTTTGCTATTCAGCTCAAAATACAATTCTTACAAAAAATTGTTTAAATTGTTAATTTTGAAAATTCATCTTTCAAAAATACATTTAGAATAAATTTTGAGCCTCCCGAGGATTAATCTAGGTCTTGGTCAATTTATTTGTGCCCTAGATATGTGACTGATGATGTGGATTTCTCATCGTGTTCTTCGCAATTCGTCTTGTTTTCGATGGTTATATACGAATGACTCGAGACACTCATTAGAACACAAATTTTGAGTAGGAAATTGCCGATATATAGCACATACTTAACATTCCCTCCCCCCCTTCCGGAAATTCTGAATTCAACTTAAATGTACACACATAAGAATGACAACTCAACCGAAAAAGCCAATCACCCTTGCATGTACGAAAAAGGAAATAAAAATTTTAATTACTCTGTTAGCCGAGATATGATAGGCTAGAATTATGGATGTAACTTATCATATTAGCCGAGGTATGATAGGGCTAGAAAAATGGGATTTGACTTTATTTACACATATGTCTAGGCATATAATATGCAATAATTATATTCAGTTTACTTTCTTGTAATATTAATATGTGCTCTTTTTAGTATATAAATACCAGGGTGGTGTTTGGAGGAGCTTTTCAACATTAAAAGGCCTTCGTTGAGAATTCCTTCGTACAAGGAATTTTGTTAAACATTCATCAGAAAAAGGTGTTTGGGGAGTGCATTTTTAATAGGTCTTTTAACCATTAAATTATTTTACGCTTGACAATATTACCCATCTACTTTATGCTCATTTCCATTCAAACACATCCCATGTACCACCACCATTTACGATTTTACCCATCCACTGTATGCCACCATTTCCATTCAAACCCATCCCATGTTAAATCATCATATCTGTTTGCCACATGAAAGACCAAGCCAGAGATAGTAATTTTACTAATCAACAAAAATGAGAATGAAGTAAACAGAAATTAGAACTCCAATAAACTAGAAAGTAAAGCATCTAATCCAGTAGAGAGAGAAACTAGGGAAACTTGGCCGAATTTTGTACACCTATTTTCACCCTCCTTTTGATCTATAAAACAACTCTCAATTTATTTGTATCATTATTTTCATCTTAACACCGGTGCTGCGGTGCAAATAAAGCAATAGAGCCACCATATCTCTATAAATCTGTGAAAATTCACTACTTCACATTTGAAACCCCCTTCCACTCTCTCTCCTCTTCTAGCATTCATTTGTTTTTGTTTTTTGTTTTTTGTTTTTTTGTTTATGGTGGGAAGAGATCCTGTTAATCAGATGGAGGTCTCTCATTTACTTTTTACGGATGACACCCTGGTTTTCTGTGATGCTAATGTGTCTCAGCTTAGATATTTGAGGTGCATTTTGGCCAGTTTTCACGTTGTCCCTGGTCTGAAGGTTAATGTGGCTAAAAGTGTGCTTGTTCCGGTTGGAGATGTTTAGGATATTTCATCTTTAGCGGAAGTCCTTGGGTGTAGGGTGAGTTCTTTCCCAATTCTGTATTTGGGCTTGCCTTTAGGGGTTTCCTCTAGAACGATGGGGAGTTGGGACCCTGTGATTGATAGGTATGCGAAGAGATTAGCAGGATGGAAAAATCAATATTTGTCTAAGGGAGGAAAAGTTACGCTTATAAAGAGCACTTTATCGAGCCTTCCCACATATTTTTTATCTATGTTCCAAATTCCATGCTCTGTTGCTGATAGGATTGAAAAAATTCAAAGGGCTTTCCTTTGGGGTGGAAGAGGTGATGAATTTAAGTATCACCTTGTCAATTGGGAACAAGTTTGCAAGCCAATGAAGTTTGGTGGTCCTGGTATCAGAAGACTAGTCCCCTTTAACCAAGCTCTTCTGGGAAAATGGCTGTGGAGGTACGGAAGGGAAATACATCGCCCTTGGCGAAGGCTTGTTTCATGCCGATATGGGGAAGAGAGTGGTGGTTGGTCTACTCGTCCAGTTTCTCTCGTGGGAGGAGTTGGGGTGTGGAAATTCATTAGGAAGGGATGGGATGCTTTTTCTACTCATATGAGATTCAAAGTTCGTGATGGCAGATGTTTACGCTTTTGGGAGGATCTTTGGTGTGGAGACCGGCCTTTATCTTGTTTATTTCCTAGGTTATACAGTATTGCAGTTGATAGACATGCCTACGTAGCCAACTGTTATCAACTTGATAGGGGAGGGATTACGTGGGACGTGCACTTTCAACGCTCTTTTCAAGATTGGGAGGTGGACGAGGTATGTGTTTTCCTGGATTTGTTGTATCGACAGGAGGCAGTTGGCAGAGGTAGTGATAATATAAGATGGATTCCCTCTTTCCATGGTCGCTTCGAAGTTCAATCCTTATTCTTATGTCTTTCTGATTTTGATATCGTTGATTTTCCATGGAAGACTATTTGGCGTTCTATGGTTCCAACTAGGGTGGCATTCTTTGTTTGGACTGCTGTATGGGGTAAGATCCTTACGATTAATAATCTAAGGAAAAGGGACAATTGTCTTGTTAACTGGTGTTGCCTTTGCAAACAAGATGGTGAGTCAGTTGCTCACATTCTCATGCATTGTCCTTTGGCGAGGGATTGTTGGAATCTTATCTTTTGTCTGTTTGGTATGTGTTGGGTTATGCCTCGTTATCCTAAGGATTTGATTTGTATTTGGAGAGGATGCCGTGTGAGTAGCGTTGTTCGCGATTATTGGAGAGTTGTACCACATTGCGTCTGGTGGTGCATTTGGAAGGAGAGGAATAGTAGAATGTTCAAAGGGAAAGAATCGTCCACGGCGATTTTGAAACTTCACATCATATGCTCTCTTTTCAGTTATGTGAAAAGGAAGTCCTGTTCTTCTTAGAAGATTTAATTATTTTTTTGGCTTCTTTGGGGTCTTAATCTCTAGTTCCACTTCTGTATAAGGGATGTGTTCCCCTCTTGAACGCCTTTTTATTTCAATTATTACTTATCAAAATATATATATATATATATAATGCCTTCTAAAATATATTTAGCACAAAACTGAAAATTACTGCAACTACATCCAACTTTCTTCCTATAGGCATAAGCCTGCTTTTTACTTTCATTACAACTCATCTTTTCCGGGACCAGTGGAACCAATTAGAGAATTGATCAGAATGTGTATTAGGACCTGTGGAATTAGATTTTGATCCATCTGGTTTGTTCGTAACAACGATGAAGGAACACGATTTCTTACTCTCCAACGATCAAGTCACTTTGTGGATCAAGAGGTGATGAATTATGGAGAAGAGGCATCAGTAACCACCACCATGAACGACATTCTCTCTCCTCTCTCTTGCTTCATTTGATTCTGGATGAGTTTTCGACCATCACCCTTCAAAACCTTACGAGAAGGTTCTGCGGTTATGGTAGAAGGTGGAGGACAATGGCAAATGCTGGCGGCCACGTGAACTGGTGGCTGGGCTGACGGTGGTGGAAGCCATGGACTCGAATTAGAGCTAATTCTAGAGAGAGAACACAAAACTGGTAAAGAGATAGAGAACAATAATATGAAACAATGTAGGGATAAGATGGTATTTTACAATTACTATGCCTTGCGTTTCAGGACATGGATTTCAAAAGCAACTCTGAGTTGCTTCCTCTAAACGGGCTTTTGCGACTAAGATTTTTGTGAAATTCCATTTCAGAATTTTTACCAAACAACCAAATTTATCGTGAAACGGACTTTGTGGGTCTGGAAGCCCATTTTGAGGGTGTAGGAAGCCACCCCAAACACCACCCATATCTGTGAATGAGTGTTCAAGCCGCATTTAAGCCTTTACATATTCTAATTCTCATTCAAGCCTTTTCACATTTCTCTTATTTTCTTTGTGTCTTGTACTTTCTAGTATTAGACCCAAGGTGGTCTGACCGCAACGAGGGTGTTTGATGCCACCCATTTAGGAATTGTCTGAGTAGACATTGTTGATGGTTTGTGGTCTAAGGAGACATTGGTGATGCTTCCATCTACATATTTATAAACATGTGAATGAAGGGGAATGGCTTGAGGAGACATTGTTGATTATTTACGGTCTGACGAGACATTGATAATGGTTTTTGGTCTGAGGAGACACTAGCTGAGTCAGATAAGACGTATCCACGGTGGTTTGGAGAAAACGCCATGGTTATGTCTTGGCTAGCCAATTTAATGCAGCCAAACATAATCTCAAGTCCACCAAAACCCCGAGAAGCAGTCCTCAAGCCTAAAATGTAAAAACAACAAAGCCTCAAGAAGCAGCTCTCAAGTTAAAAACACTGAGGCACTACTTTAGGTTCATCAGGAACCTCCAGGAATAGCCCTCGAGTCAAAAAAGCCCAGTTACAATTATCTCAATTCCACCAATACCTCTAGAAGCAATCCTCAAGTCCAAAACCCTAAGACATTCTCTCAAGGGCTCGATGAACCCTCATGGACACACGGTTAATAGGATGGTGGAGAGGCACAGGTAGGGCCCAACACATCCCTACAGCCGCATCATGGGAAATTTAGAAGGATGTTTGGAATGGAGGATGAGATGTCAAAGTTTGCCGAAATACTTGAATAATGGGCCTGACCAAAGGGATTGTAACCATGTGACATGACAAAGAAACTCACCATCACACCGAATGCATTAATGTTGCATATTGGCCATTTAATGCTCAACCACCGCTATTAATGACCCACTGAAGACTTGAGGATATATCCTCTTCTACTACAATTATTTTGAAAAGAAACTGACTAAAAGAATTTGTTTAAAATGCAACCTCTGCGTTCTTAAATACTCCATTCTGGCTGGTTATTTTAGACTCATCCTGTAATTGTATTAGGGGCTCCCATAATTAGGTTTCATATGGTTTGGGAGATTCGACATTGTCGTTAGTTTAATAATTGTACTTCTATTACCTTGGTGTAGGCCAAGTCAAGGGCAAACCTTATTTTAAACTTATTTTCAGACTTGCCTCTAGGATAAGACTTTGCATTCCTCCTTGCACTTAATTCTGTCAGTAAGATCTTTCGGTTTTTCCTTTGATTCTTCATTGTTAGGTAGGAAGGGAAAAATAAAGTGAGAAAAACATTGAGAAAAGGCGGTGACCATAGGGAAGGAAAGCAACCTTAGACTTGAGGATATATTCTCTTCTGCTCCAATTACTTAGAATAGGAATTTGACTAAAGGAATCTGTATAAAATGCAACATCTGTGACCTTGAATACTCCATAGGGAAGGAAAGCAACCTTAGACTTGAGGATATATTCTCTTCTGCTCCAATTACTTAGAATAGGAACTGACTAAAGGAATCTGTATAAAATGCAACATCTGTGACCTTGAATACTCCATTCTGGCTGGTTATTTTAGACTCGTTGTGGTGTTAAGTTTTTCCCATTGTTATTAATTATATTAGGGGCTCCTGTAATTAGGTCTCATTTGGTTTAGGAGATTGGATTTTGTAATTAGTTTATCAATTATACTTCTATTTGGACCTTGGGGTCGGCTAGGTTAAGGGCAAACTTTATTTTTTAACCTCATTTTTGGACTTGCCTTTAGGATAAGACTTTGTATTCCTCCTTGCACTTATTTCTTTTGGCAAGATCTTTTGAGTTTTGGCTTCTCCTTTGGTTCTCTGTTTTTTTAGGTTGGTACTTCATTTTTTCCCCCCCTAAATGGCAATGTGTAGGTTCTTCTTTTTTAGGTAGGAAGAGAAATAAATTGAGAAAACAATGAAAAAATGCCTTGACCTAAGATTCTTTCTGCAACATGGGAGATATGTTGTCTCAATAGGTTGAGTGATGGATAAGAATGGGATGCTATGATGATTCAATATTTTGCTTTACTTTTTTTACTTTGAGTTATTAAAAAATAATATTCCTATTATCACATATAAGTAGATTGAGATGCCAATATTTAATAATCTCTTCATATATAGGCACCAAGGTATTTCACTGGAAATGCTGCTTAAGCTGGTCAGGGTATTTGGTTCAGTGATCTATTCTTCTTTATCGGCATCATCTGTTGGCGTGGATATTGAGGCAGAGCAAAGGTGTGTATATCCATCTAGATTCTATCTTTATTATTATTATTTATTTTGGGTATCTTCCTAACTGGGGAGGCTGTTGCTGCTTACTGGGTGTCAAAGACTGGAGCGCTGCAATCTCTGCTTTGTTGAGCTTGAAAAGGTCAAGCGCTGCCTTCCTGTCCTTAGTAGGTGCGTATTTTCTTCTAGCTGCTTGTTTGCGACTTGTACAATAATTTACCATATTGTGTTTTTGATTGTTTTTCCCTTCTTTTTTTTGCCATTTTCTTAGAAGAGGGGGGTTGATTGCTAAGTTTGCACAGGAGCTGAATCTTGCACTTGAAGAAGTTTCATGAGTAAATTTGTTTTCTTTAAAAAGTAAGCGTACTAGTGGAAGTGCAATTATTTCTGGGCATACATAAATCACCTTTTATATTTTGAGGGGCTGAATGTGCGTTTTGGAGATTTAAAGCCACTTGTGTGGGGCATTTTGTTGTTCCATGTTTTTTTTTTTTTTTTTTTCCGGTCTCATCTGGCTCTAGGTTGTACGTATGCTAAGCGGAAGCTACTGATTCTTTGACATTTTACTGACAATTGAAGGCTAATTGACAACCTACTCTGGATCTGCTGCTGGTTGTCGACAGTTGTGGCAACCAAGGAGCCCCTGCATAGCAGAGAAGAATCCTTCGAAACCTTACCATTCTCTAACCCAATGTGTAGTGCATTACTTTGTAACCTCTGATCTTCAAAGCGAAATTATGTATTAATTTCATCATATATATATATATATATATATATATATATATATTGATGCAAGAGTGTCTCAGCTGATGAAAGGAATCACAACCACCCTTTTTTTTTTCTTCCTGTGGAATCACCACCACTTGAATGGTCATATGTCGGAACTTCTAAATATATGGTATATATATTTGTTTGGGCTTTTATGGTGTCTTCTGGGTTAAGTACACAAAACCCCCACTATATACAAGAAATGCAATGAACCCCCACTATATAAGATGTGCAATAAAACCAATACTGTTTCAATTTGTGCAACGAAGGACTTTGTGCCAATTTAGCAATTAAAATGTCTAAAATACCCCCTTAAAATCAAAGGAGAGAGCACTGTTCAGAGCACCACAGTCCTCGTCGCCGGTGGGTTCTAAAGTATTCACTGCAGAATCATGCAATTTTTGTAGCCAAACAAGGCTATATGTATATATGTATATATATATATCACTGCGTTATAAACCAATTTAATGGGTTATGAACTCTTCACAGCAGAACTAGAATCATGCAATTTCTGTAGCCAAACAAGGCTATATATATATATATCACTGCGGCTGCAAACCAATTACAAAACCCACAGCAGAGCAAATGATGAATCAAGGCCGGCAACAAACAAGAAGTCAACGCAGGTGAGAAGAAGGCGGCGATGCGTGACAGTGGAAGGACGGCGGCCCAGCGGGACTTGGGTTCTCTGAGTCTCCTTCTTTCATTGGGTTGTGCTTTGGAATATATATTTTTTCTTTCCTCACTGTATCAATGCAATGGGGTTGAAGGAGATGGCTTTTTTGGATTTTTTAATTTTTTTTTTCAGACAGGGTTTGGTGGATTGATTGTGGGTGCAATGGTGGCTGGTAGCTGCCGTTCAGAGCACACTGCGATGGACTTGGAGGCTGTTCTTGCTTACTTTAGGGAGGGTATTTTGGGAATTTTAAAAAAATATTTGGTCAAAATTGATTATTATGAGACAATTTGCTCAAAAAATAATAATATATGGAGTTATATGCACTGTTTTTCTAATAGGAAAGTTTTTTTTAACATTTTGTATGTAGTGTGAGCTTTTTGGATTTAACCCTAAATTATTATATAAATGTTAGGTTATCGTGGACATACCTATGCGAGAGTGGGAGGTATACACCTGTGCCTAACTAGTATATATTACTTTTCTAAAGCAAACCACCTTATTATGGGCATCGACAATGACTTTGGGATAATTATTTTTTTTTATTACATGTCTAAGCCATTGTGGAAAATTTTGAAGTACGTAAAGGGTCTGTTTGGTTTAATTTTTAAAAATTAAAATTTTAGAAAATTGTACAAAAATAACCTATTTGGTTTAAAGTTTTCTGGGAAGTGTTATCTAAAAAAATATATATATACTAAACTATTTTCAAGAGTATTAAATTTTATTTCTCTCTAAAAATATTTTTAAATTTAAAAAAATTATTTTTAAGTGACAAACCGAATAAGACGGAGTCTTCCTACGACCAAATTTATCAGTTAGCCTCGGTTTCTGCTGGCTCAGTTACCCTTCTAGCTGCATCAGAAGTCTCCCACAGAGACACAAACATCAAACTGTCTAGACTCCAACCGCTCAGCTTGGAGGAGACGTACCACTTGGCGAATGTCCTCAACTTGTAAATTGACGCTCTTCAACTTTCCTTATATAAAATAAAAAATAAAACTTTCCTTTTTATTATTATTTTAACATATACCATACATCTATTTAGTACAAGAAAATTTCATGTTTTATTTTTCTTACCGGGCAAGAAAATTATTGATTTATTCATTATTATTATTATTTTTCAAGGGGTGATCAAATAATTCGTTAATCCAGTCCGAACTAATTCGATCTGTGTGATTCGGTTCGATTTTTAGATCTCATGATTTAGAAAAATAGCAATTCGCTATTCTCGGTTCGGTTAACGAATTGGACCCTAAAAAAACCCAATCCGATACGTTAACGGATCGGATTGCCTCCACTTAGGTTCGAACTCCTGACCTCCCTTTGAAAAGTAAGAGCCTTGTACCGTTAGACCACACTTTTTAATTATTAATTTGAGATTTTAATAGGCCTTAAAGTATAATTATATTGGGGTGTTTGAAAAGTTCAATCTGTGAAAACCGAACTGATCCGATCGGTTATTTTACGGATCGGCTTGGTTCGAATTGAAAGTCTCCACGGATCGGTTCGGTTTTAAATTTCACCAATTCGTAAGAACCGAATAGAATTAAACTTTACCCCCAAACCGAATCAATCCGATTCATGATCATCCCTAATTTTTTAGGTAAGAAACTCCCACACTTGGGCCACTTGGATCACTGACATTTGGTTGTCCAATCTAATCCAGTCTATCCTTTAAAAAAATAAAAAAATAAAAGTTGACCTACAACAATAATGCTGAGTAATTAACAATCATGTAATAATATAATACAAAGAAATTTGATCATTGAACTAAACTACCAAGCGGAAAACCTTTTTTTTTTTTTTAGTTGTTAGCCCAGAAAAAAACAAAACAAAAACAAAAATCATGTTTAATAATATGTTTTTATTTTTTTTATAGTAGAAAATGTTTTTTACTTTTATGAAAAAAATAAAAAACATAAAAAAAGTGTTTCTCATGTTTTCGACACTATTGAGTAAAAACGTTTTCACTATTATTATTACATATACACTATTCATTTCAAATAAAAGGTATATTATTCATGTTATATACTAATGTTACATATTAAATAATAATAAAAGTTATATTTTTAATATATATAAGTATATTAAATATTAGTGTAAATTATTTTTTATTTAACAAAAATATATATTTAAAATATAATATATTATATAATAGTGTAAATTATTTTTTGGGACAAAAAAATTTATGATATATTATATTTTTGTACAAAAAAAATTATGATAATTGGTGAGTGTATTTTTGTCCTAATATATCTTATTTTGTATATGTATTAGGTATTATTAGGATTTGTGATTTTAAACTGGATATTATATTTTATTATCCATTTTTAATAATTGTGATATAATTTAATTACATACATATTTAAGGCTTTTTGGTACTAATGAAAAATATTAAAAATAAAATAAAATAATTAGAAAATGTTATGTACATCTCTAACAAATATGTATTATTATACAATGTTATTATTTTTTGCTTTCAAAATTGTGACCGCAACAAGTGTTACGCATTTTTGTTTTTTATTTTCACTCAAGAAAACAAAATTATATTTCTGCTTTCTTAAAACTGCAAAAACAGAAAACAAAAACATTACTAAATGCACGCTTAATTCTAAACTCTAAATTAGAAGATCTGTTTAATCGTCATGTTGTATCCATATTCACATCCGTGCTTCCTAACGTATCACTTACACTTGAAACAAGTTTCTCAAATTATCAGTCCTTGATGTTAAGTTGAGATAAAATTTTAAAGTTAAAATTATAGTTAAATCCCAAGTCACATAAAACGGAAAGAGGAGCGATAGCAGATACGAGAGCGTGCAAGCGCCATAATGAAATCATAAGCAGTGAGAATTTAAGTGAAAGAGTGCGTGGAGTACGAGAGCGAGAACGAACTTGGAACAAGAGCGACACCTGTTGAAAAGGATTGTCTGATTTAGGTTAAATCATCAAATGTTTCCGGACAAATTCAAGTGAAAACATGCACAAGATTTAGGACGGGAAAAGAACACACACTCACACACGACCATTTGTAGACCCTGAATAATACTTATAAGAAGGCTCTGCTCTTATTTCAAATGCATGTCATAGAAATATATATGTTCCATAACCTTCAATAAGACGTAAAAACAGAATGGGACCAATCTAGAGATAATTTAAAACATAGCTCAAGAAAACTGGACGATAATAAAATCCTAACATAGTCAAACTGCAAATTTAAACTCAATAGAGAACAAAGCAAAATTGAGGTCCATGTTAACCATTGCAGTAACCACACATATTTAGACATAATAGGCATATGCTTCATATTCCATATCACTTCACTAAGCATATCTTAATGACTGAGGCAGCTCCAATTCGATGAAGCACAACAACTGCGTCACCAGGCAGGCACAGCTGCTTCTGTATTGCCGACTTCAGGGCAGCTTCTAAGATCACCTCAGTGGATTCTGCATCAGTGGCCTTTGCAGATCCTTCTGCAAGAAGTGGTATCAAGCCTCTGTATATCAGGCTATGCCTTGCCGGAGTCTCATCACTGCAGCTCCAATCAAAAGAGTCTGTCGTCAAAACTGGTACTACCACTGACAGAATTGGCACAGCCGGTCTGTACTTGGCAACTAACTTGGCTGTGCTCCCACCACGCGTCAAAACAACAATGAGTTTTGCTCTAGCCTTGTTAGCCGTACGAACAGCTGAGGATGCAAGACTCTCCAATGGGCTCATCGGCAATGGAGTCGACCTTATCATCTCCTTAAAGATGGCCCCGTAGTCGAGCGATGACTCTGCCTCGATACAAATTCGAGCCATGATTTTCACAGCTATCTCCGGATAGGCCCCAGCTGCACTCTCCCCACTAAGCATGACACAATCAGTGCCGTCAAGGACAGCATTAGCCACATCAGTTGCCTCAGCACGGGTTGGCCGGGGAGATTTGATCATGGATTCAAGCATCTGAGTGGCAGTTACCACTGGCTTGCCAACAAGATTACACTTGTATATCATCATTTTCTGTGCCAGGAAAATCTTCTCAACCGGGATTTCCATCCCAAGATCACCACGGGCAACCATGAAAGAGTCTGTCTCCCGCAAGATTTCATCAAAATTGATAACTCCTTCTTGGTTCTCGACCTTCAAAATTCCAGGAACTAGAAATCATTACAAGACCAACAAATATTGAACACTTGTTAAGAAGTTCTGCAACTCATAACAACAACAATAGTAATAATAATACAGTAATATAAATCTCTTTCAATGAGCACAACCAAAAATCCGATGGGACTAACAAGCACATCTATGAAAACAAATTCATGTGCATGCATGCACACAGGACTGTGAGCTGACCAGACTAGGACAAGGGTGCTTTGGTGGGGCGGTTTATTAGAGAGAGGAGGGGGGTTGATGATGTATACCGAATCCTAAAAAACGTTATCAGTTCAAATCCAATAATTTAACAGATTATAATATAGAACAAAGTAGTAATATGAATCCAAATCCCATGAGATCTCAATCCAACAATCCAATCCAATCATATCAATATTGATTAAATTATTATATTTTAAACCATTTCCAGACGCAAATGTCCTTTTCTATGCTGATATCAGGTTCTATGATAATAAGGAATCACTTTAATGACGATAAGAGTACCATGAGGTAGAGGCCAAAGTGGAGCACTAACCTGTCACACAGGGTTGCTTGGACTAACGAGGAAGAGGTGGTGCAGCTAAGCTTTGGTGATCTCTCTTGAGACAGAACACTAGTACTAATTTTGCCCAACCACCATTGTTCAGGCAATTCACCCCTTTTAAACTATTCTATCATTGGACGAGGACCACTGTTCCAAAGAACTATTTGACAATTGCTTGCCTAACTGGTTGGAGATCCCAAAGCTATGATGCGATTAATTAGCCTGATAGAGTAGGGGGTCAAGCATTTAATGCTCATCAACCACAAGTTAAAGACTTTTGGATGAGAAATGAACCAAACCCTACAGACAATAAAATGTACAGAACTTCTAAAGCATACCCCACCCCCCTCTACTCCCCTTCTTAATCCTCTTACGTAAGAAAAAGTGTCCATGCCCACAAGGTTGTGTAAAAGTAACCAACCCATTGAATGCCCCACCTCTATTTCTACTCCCAACACAACAGTAGACTGAAAGGGAAAATAATACAATGCAAGATTTAATTTGCACAAACTGCAGATATCCATAAACAACCAAGCGTTTTTCTATGATAAGATGCACAACTGACCACTCATATGGATTGATATACCTTGGACATCAGTTGTATATGCTTGGCATGGGGCCCAAGGACCTTCCGAACATTAACAAGATCCGAGCCCTTGCGAACAAATGAGAGAGCAATCATATCAATATTGTTAGGAACACCCCATCCCAAGATGTCTTCCTTATCCTTCTCTGTAAGTGTAGGAAGATCCACTACAACACCGGGAAGATTCACATTCTTCCTCTCACCCAGAGTAGCAGTGTTCTCACAACGGCATCTCACTGTTCCAGAAGCTGGATCACATGACAAGACAGTGAGGGTAATGGTGCCATCTGCACACAAGATTGTATTTCCAGGCTTCAAGTCCACGGGCAATTTTTTGTAGCTCATAGAGATCATTTCCTCATCCCCTTTTATGCTGTAATCGGTGGTTATAGTGATTTCTTGACCTTCCTTGAGTTGAATAGGTTTTTCATCCTTTAGAAAACCAGTTCGGATCTCAGGTCCCTGCAACAAAAGAAACCTCATGACACAACAATTCAACTTCAAGCAATAAAACAACTTTAGTCAAAATTCCAACTTAAAAAATGTAAATCCACGGGGGAGATCGTTAATTTTTTGGACTTTTGGAGAGTCTAGGAGCCCTATTTGGCCTAGTGTAGATTTTGCGGGACTGCATTCCTCGTTTGAATGCTTTCTAATACAATCTTACTTATCAAAAAAAAAAAAAAAAACAACACACACACACACATAACAAGAAGTTATCATATATGACATTGCATAACGTGCCCAGATTTTGAGCTGCATAATTTATGCTAACGATGGAGAGAATTGAGTAGCATCCAGACAATGCAGACTACAGAGCCAGAAAACGGACATGAAAGGATAAGCACAAATATTTATCTGGATAGCATTCCTTTTCCTATATCAAATACTATTTGACTCGAGCACACTCAATGAAGTAGATGATGGTACTCAGTACCAAGAGGTAATAACTTTTTTTCTGGCACACTAAAAACCAAGAAATGTTTATCAAGGAATGGTAGAATAAGAAAGAAATTATGGAAACCGCAGACTACCACATTTCTGTTACAGATTTCAGTTTTTGAACTTCACAAACCATGAAAAGTTTATAGGATATTCTAAAGAAAGGGAAAAAATTATTCTATGCAATTTTTTTTCCCAAGAACATTACAATCTACTGAGAAGTATAGCACTTCATCTTCTCAAGGCAGTGAAGCCTTAGATATTAATTGATGACATTTTTATAAACAAGATCTCTTAACTAGAGGTTGTCACATACTCCCTCTGTCCCAAAAAAAATGTCTCTTTTGGGGAACTGTGACAACCTCTAGTTAAGATATCTTGTTTATAAAAATGTCATTAATAAATATGTTGGGCAATCACAGTTCCTCAAAAGAGACATTTTTTTTTGAGACACAGAGAGTAATAAACAAGATAATACTTTCTGCATAAACCTCTGTCCCAAAAAAAATGTCGCTTTTGGGGAACTACGACAACCTCTAGTTAAGAGATCTTGTTTATAAAAATGTCATCAATAAATATCTAAGGCAGTCACAATTCCCCATAAGAGACGTTTTTTTTGAGACACAGGAAGTAATAAACAAGATAATACTTTTTGCATAAAGAATGAACAACTAAAAAAGGATTACAGGTTCATCTTTTCAAGGCAGTGATTCGTTGCGCTTCACAAATTACAAGCTCTGTATACTCAGCGTGGCAGACAAGGACAATCATTTCTATATAAAGGCTATGAAAGTACTTCTACTCTACACTGCTCTGACTCATCACACACTGTATCTTTAAATTAAAAAATATAAACAAGCATTGTTACAAGACAAAGACATATATATATATATACATGCAAATACTTAAACAAGTCATCTCAAAAGGAAATTGGCAAAGCTAGCAACAGAACTGAGATATCACTTGATCTCCTTCCATTATATGGAAGATACAAAAATAAACCAAAGGCCTGTCAGATAACCTCCTACTAGAAAGACATTAAAAAAAATAAAAATCTAGAAAAAGGCTGTGAAATCTAGGGCCAACTTTTATGGAGAAAAACCTTTCTGTAGGTTTCTGATCTTAATACAAAGCATCAGTGGCTAAGAATCACGGAAACTTCTATGAGGTGTCATGTCCGTGCCAGACACCAGCACTCCATGGATACTCCTAGACACGTGTATGGAACTTTATGGCCGCGAACATTATTTTAAAATTAAATTTTATTATTTCGGACACTTGGTTGACACATTCCGAACACTCGACCAACACATCCTACACTCTGTCTTGTATAAAACAGACACATGACAATCATGGAAACAACATTATGAACATTAGTCACAGTGTTCAACCTATAAGGAACAAAAACATAACTATAATAACAAGATAAGATCGTAATATCATATATAATATAACATATACTTTTTTATATTCAAATAATGTCATCTTCTAACTTATGTAACATGGTATAGAATTTTTAAATTAATTAAAGTACCATGATTGTCTAGTTCAATAGATACATAAATGAAAATTTATATTTATATTAGCCATGTTCACTCCGTATCCGCGTCCTACTTTTTTAGAATTTGACGCACCGACATATCCATGTTGTATCGTGTCCATGTCCGTATCCGTGCTTCTTAGATAAGTGGTTTATAACAATCAGCCATGCCCCATATTAATGATTGTTTGGCAACTATGAAGGCGATTAGGGTTTGCATGCAGTTCCTAGTTCATCATGAAGAAGTTTGCAGTGCAACATGGAGGAGAGTGACTCCAAACAGCCGGGGGTGGGCTCTTCTCCTTGGATCAGTACTCCTCCACGAACATCTTGGAGAAACTTGTTCAACAAGTCCACCGAGACATTATTCATTACCTTACGGTACCACTACGGTTTGAAAGATTCGAAGGTGTGTGTCTCAGAAGAGGATGCTGCTGACGAACAATTGAAACACTCTATAGTAGGATACGTCATGGCAAGCGACCTTACTTTCCTTTCTTCAAGAGTTTCATTGAACGTCAATGGTGGAGCAGTTCTCTCTTACCTTTATTATTATTTTTTTAATAAGTGTTCTCTTACCTATATTTGAAGGATGGACTCTTTGAAGTGTGGTTTGAGTCCATGGAGGATATGGAGAAGACTCTTCAATGCGTGCATACGTTCAAGGGACGACCTATTACACTTAAGAGATGGAACAAGAATGTTAATTTGGAGAAGGATGTGCTTGGTTCTATCCCCGTATGGTTGAAGACTCATGATGTGCTAATTCATTGGGAACCATGTTGTGCTTTCTAAAATTGCTCGAGGTTTTCGAAGCATATTTTCCTTGATGAATCTTCTTCTAACGGTTAAAGGGCCAATACGTTCGAGTAATGGTCGAGATTGATGTGCAGGAGGAGTTACTAGACGATATGACTATTGATATTCATGATGGGATTGTAATATTTTGAATATGAGTGGAAGCCACAATTGTGTCAATATTGCAGAAGAATTGATCATTTGGCCGACAATTGCCCACTGAAGCAAGGGGGGCTCTGTTTTTTCTTCTTTTTTTCTTCAATACTCTCTCTTCTCATCTACTTCTCTCTCTTCATTTACTTCTTCTGTTTCTTCCTCTCTTTTTTTTTTTTTTTTTTTTTTTTGCTCTATATTTTCTTTTCTATTCTTGTTAATAGTTTTATTATTTTTTTTAAACAGAGAAATTTCTTTTAGGGCTCTGTTTTGCCATTTAAAAAAAAAAAAATTTCCGCTTTGCCTTTCAAGAAAACAAATTTGTGCTTTGTTTTATGGTTGTTGGATGCTTGTTTAGTTGGTAGATTTACTTTTTTATATTTGATATTAATTTTTAAAATATTGAAATGACTTGTGAGATATGAATGTTTTTATGGTAGTTTAAAATTTCAATTGTGCGACTCACTTCACTAAGGCACACGCCTCGCCGTGCACCTCGCACCTAAGCTCCAAAAGACCTCTAGCACCATGGTGCGCCTTGGGCCTTTAATAACACCGGGTACACGTACACATCATCAAAATAAGGGTAGTACAGAGGTAATTGTTAGCAGATATGATAATCACGATTTATGGAATGACTTACCATATTAGCAGAGATTTGATTATGCTATAGAATACGCTATATAATATGTTGTGATTTGATTTATATCCGATTTAATTTCCTTTCTTGTAATATGACCATATGCTCTTTTTATCTATAAATACTAGAGTTGTGAATGAGTGATATATCTCATTCAAGTCTTTACACAATTCTCTTATTTTTCTTCTTTTTATATTTCTTCTGGTAATAGAGCCAAGGCGGTCCAACTGCAATAAGGGCATTGCAAGTTCGGCACCACCCATTCGAGAATAGTCTAAGAAGAGGTGTCGAGTAGGCAGAGTGGTCTCCTCAATAAAAGCATTGCGAGTTCAGCACCAACCATTCGAAAATGGTCCGAGGGGACATGGTTACTTTTTTATGGTCTGAGGAGATATTGTTGATTCTTTTATCTACATTGTTTAAACATATGTATGAAGGGGAATGGTCTGAGGAGACATTGTTGATTATTCCATCTACATGTTTTAAACATGTGTAAGAAGGGAAATGATCTGAGGAGACATTGTTGGTTGTGTACGGTCTGAGGAGACATGATTGGTTGTTTATAGTTTGCGGAGACATTTTTTTATTTGTTGATCGACACTTCATTTGAGAGAGAATCATCGCTAGTCAGATTTGCACTCCATTTGTCACAAGCTCTTAGCAGCTTGCAGGCATTCTTACAAAGGGCGTCGGCAAGATTGTGTTTGAGAATGCATTATCCAAGTTGAGCATTTCAGATATCCATGCACCAACTTGAGGGGGAGCGTTAGTAAATATGATAGTCACGATTTATGGAATGACTTGCCACATTATGAAAGATTTGATAGGCACGAATCATGGCATATAATATGACATATAATATGATGTGTTTGATTTGGATTTGATTTAATTTCCTTTCTTGTAATATGACCATATGCTCTCTTTTTTTCTTTCTTAGTTGGTACTTACACACACTTGCCTCCACTGAGGCTCGAACACCTAACCTCCCTCTGGGAAGTTGGGGCTTCATACCGTTAGGCCAATGGCATGTTGGTACCCATATGCTCCTTTTATCTATAAATACTAAAGTTGTGAATGAGTGATATCTCATTAAATCCAGTGATGAAACAGAAGGATCCAATTCCTCCTGAATCTAAACAAAAGAAGTCAAAGAAAGTTACTGATCCTACTTCTCCTAAGATGACTAGAGCAAGGGATATTGGTGGGGCTCTTCCACCTAACCCTATGCCTTAATATTGGGGTGCTAGAATAGTAGAGGCTTAAATAAGCCTCATAAACAAAAGTGAAGTATTGGCTTTCTTCCTTGTCCAACCTTATTTGTCTTGTGGAAACCAGAGTAAAAGAACACAATTTTTATTCCATTTCTAGTAGGATTTTTCGAAACTGGTG